GCACCTCTGATAATTTCATGTGGGAATCATTTCCAATAAGATTACCACTTGGTGAAGGAAAACATCGTGAGGAAACCTGCATGTCTGAGAGAACCTAGAAAGTTTTCGAAAAACATATAAAGTCTGCTAATTCGCACTTGGCCAGCATGGTGGACTATAGCCTGATCCTCTTCTAAATTGCGGTCCGTGCCCAGCAGTGACGTTAAAAAGGGCTTATATATATATATATATATATATATATATATATATATATATATATATATATATATATATATTTAGATGCTTTTGAGATAGGTACAAAATTTATCGAAATTATCAATATCTCGAACCTAAATATCATTTTTGTCCATTTAATTTTATCCTACACCTGCAGTTCATATTGTCCAATACAAGAAGAAAATCCAAAACCCTGAGTATCCAAACATACGCTCTTACGACTACGCTCTGTACATTTTCTAAAACGTACTTACTATTTACAAAATGGCATCAATAGATTTCCATTTTATTGCGATACCATTTTGACTCTAGTTTTCTTCGTGTTTGGTGTAAACCATGTCCTGCTATCTGCGTTTTGGTTATCGCTACTTTACGCTGTGTATGTCTGAACTATACTTGGACAGTGAGTTATTAATTCCAGAATTCACTGCAGGTTTGAATTGGCAATTTAATCCTTACAAAAAAGGTATTATATTATGTGCGGCAGTAGTGTATTATTCTTTCGAGTGACAGACGGACGTACATATATGTAGGTATATCCTAAGATAAAAAACTGGCTCTATAAACCTTAAAAATAATAAATTTAAGGTTAAAACAAACATTTTTAAAAACAAGCTTTTATTTAAATGCTCTAAAAAAAAAAGAAAATAAACTTTGAATTAAATCAAACCCATCAATTTATTACTTTATACAATAAATTTGATATAAAAGCTTTTTCCGCGAGATACACAAGAATATAATATTTAAAATATTAAATTTCGCGGTCGCTGATGTGTGTGTAAAAGTAATTCTATGTGTTATCTTCTAATGCTTAAACCACTAAACAAATTCTGATAAAATTTTGATAAGGGCATAAAATGCAGCCAGGGGACTTTCTTTGATCCCCGCAACACTTACCACGCGAGCGAAGCCGCGGGAAAAAACTAGTAATAATTTTCTCTTAATTAGGTGCATAGGAAATGCTATTTTTAATATCTTCAAGGATAAAGGTTAACCCTACAAAACCACTTACAATCTCGTTGCCATTTCCCCAACTCAAAACAGTAAAGACGTTCTCCGTCTGATAATGGCGCCAAGAAGCTAAATTTCATTTTTCCTAATGAATAATATTCTGGAACTGCCATCGTATATCTTAGAATCCCAAAAATAATGTCCACTTGCTGCTTCCTTTACTTAGGGCAAGTTATTATATATATTTTTTTTGATTTTTATAAATCACTAGCGACTCGCCCTCGCTCCGCTCGGGTTCGTCCCTACTTACGTTTTAACGTTTAGCATAGATTTCTCAGAGATGAGATATTTTCCCGCAGTAAAAAGTATCCTATATATTGACCCGGATAACCAGCTATTATCATACCAAATTTCATCAAAATCCCTCCAGTGGTTTTTTCGTGATGCGGTAACAGATAGACAGACAGACAAAAATTCTAAGAACTATAGATTCGGTCTCTGTATCGATAATAATGTCTATTTATATAAGGTTTTCCAAAAAATATTTAATGTACAGATTCGGCTTAGTTACAATTTTATTATATGTATAGATTAGCGAGTAGCGACTTACCCTCGCTTCGCTTCTTTTTACTTAAATATCTCTTACAATTCTCTTACTTACGAGTAAGTACTAGCAAATTAAACTGTCGTCGCGGATTCTAATCATATATGCTCAAAGATAAAATTTTGTGCCTCTTTGTTTGTTTATATATAGCATAATATCTCGGGAAATACGTATGTGTATTTATATGCTATTTTTAATGGACGTGGGGTCTCAAACTATCTTCTTATTAAATTTCATCTAAATGGGTTCAGTAGATCCAGTGATTACCCTCTACAATGTGACAAACTCACAAACTCAGAAACTCACAAACTTTACCTCTTTATAATATTAGTATAATAGACTAGCGACAACAATAGAGCTACAAAAATTACGTATCACCGAAAATTTTATATATACCTTTACATGCTCTCAAAGCTCAAAAGCTCGCAGGAGATATGAAAAAAATTAACAAAATAAAAAAAAATTTGGTTTATTACCTGCAAGCACTGGAACGCTAGAACAGTGCCCAAGTGAGACTAATGTCCTTTATCTTAATAGGAATCTCGGCTTCATAATGTCCCACTCATCAACGTTTCCAAACCCCCTAAGACCCCTGTAAGACCCCCCACGCTGATAGTGTCGTTTTTTTAATATCCACACTCCGTTAAATCTGAATGGACTTTGTAATTACTACACTTAGATATTTTCGTTTAAATTGAACTTGGATGGAGAATCGAATTATGAAAAGCTATTCGAAATATTACTTAAGTTAGGCTAAAAAGACCTACTTACATTAGTAGATTAATTTGCTAAGCTTCTATGAGTTGAATAATGAATGGAAATATCAATAGCTTCTTCATTTTGTTAAATATTAATCTGAAAGTAGTATGTAAAGTTATGAGTTGTTATATTACTAAAATATTTTATTAATATTTACCAAATATTGATGTAATTAAACTAAAAATGGTGACAAGAGAGCTGACTTATTTTTCGCCTAAAGAATCAGCATTGCCATTTGCCAATTGCCATTCATCGGGGGAATGCGGCTAGCTAGCATTCTTGCCAATATTCCGCGCGGACTGACTTGTACAGTAAAAATTATATGTCCATTTGTTTTGTATACATAATTAAGTATATTTGTAATTTTCTTTATGGTAAATAAATAGTAAAGAAAAAAACTATAACGATAGAAACAGATTACAGAGACATCAAGACAGAGATGGAGATATCATGTTTTGTTTTGTTATATTAACTTGTTTCGTCTTTGCTCAGTCGGATTTTTAGTTTTTTGTTATATAATTTTTTAATAAAAATTAAAAATGAAAGAGCGATTTCAAAGTTAGTGGTGAAATTCCGTTATGAAATTTATATTGGACCAATGTCAAGGTGAATTTAGCAAAGGTATGATTATTTGATCCACATTTGGTAAAGATATCGAATTACATGTACATATAATATAATTTATTCAGCCTTTTTAAACGTCTCACTGTTGGGTACCTTTTTAAACGTCTCACTGTTGGGGCCTCTCATTATTACGCGGGAGATCAGGCCATAGTCGTCGACGCTGGTCAAGTGCGGGTTAAGCGAAGTGGCGATTTTACATCTTTCGAAAACTTGCTAGATAGGTACCCTCATATATGCAAGTTTCCTCAAGATGTTATCTTTCATAAAACATCAAAGGTGTAAGACCCTAAATTTGAACCTGCTTCTCTTGCTTATCCAAGCGAGCGCGTTACCACGGTGCTACCACTGCTCATAAGAGTAACACAAAATAATATATTCAATTACCTACTCTTTATTGAATCTATAACTCTTTCTTTATTATTATTATTATTATGTATTTATTTTGTACACAACACGTTAGTCATTGTTGTAGTGAAACTTCTTTAGAATCGTTGTGATTAGAAACTCAATGAAACAAAAATGCGACACGAGAAAGAGATAAACACATAGATATATAGTATTATGCCGACGAGAGAATGAGATAGAATATATTACACAGAAAGTAAAAAATAATCTATACGTCATAATCATAAAATTTTAACTAAGCCCAATCTGTACATTAAATATTTATATATACAGGCCGAATCTATAGTTTTCAGAATTTTTGTCTGTCTGTCTGTCTGTTACCGCATCACGAGAAAAACACTGGACAGATTTTGATGAAATTTGGTATGATGATAGCTGGTTATCCGGGTCAACATTATTCTCTATTCTTCTATCAACATTATCGCATTTCTGAGAAAGAATACAGAAACTGCATTGTAAGAGTATACTAATATGTAAAACCTAAGAATTTGCTTTTTGGTCATCTGAACGCAGGCGGAGCCGCGGGCAATGCTAGTACAGTATTGTATTTTAAGATCTGTGCTAGTACTGAATAATATGGTAATACATTTTTAAGTTAAGTAAAATGTATTTTTTTTAAAGTAAACCTTACAATAATATCCTACTCCTGATAATCTATATAATATGTCTATCTCATTCTCTCGTAACTTTTCTGAACCATGGTAGAAGTGATTTTTTTTCTATTGTCATATAAAAAAAATACAATAAATTATATATGTACATGTGTGCAATAAAAAACAAAATCAAAAACGCGATACTTTTATTTTTGTAATATTATGAGAAGTCAATTGAGACACTTATATTTATTTTAAATTGACTTAGTACAGTTTATGCTATTTTTAAATAACGCTATTAAATAATAAACTACGTATTGTGTATTCATTTTTATTTAACACTAATAAAGGTAAAATCAAAATAAAAATAAAATAAATGTCGATAAAACAGTAACAAAACACATGACATAATCCTTAAAAGCGACATCTATAAATTTACTTGTACAATATTATGTAAAAAATTTCATACATGATAGCAACTATAAATATGGAAGGTTTATGTCTGAGTCTAGAGTTAAAAATTGTTATTTCTACTCTTGGCTTTACATTATGTGTAATTTAATATTGCTATAATTAATGGCTTTAACCTTAGTATCCATATTAATTTGATTCGTTATAAAATTTAATTTTATTCTTCTATATAGTGGCGTCATCTATTATAGATAAAGATAAAGTTTAGAGCCATCTATCGACGTGAGCTTTAAAACATTATGTAGTTCCACTTCATTCCGTAGCGCTCAGAACCCAAACAATGAATTCCAACATGGTGGCAATGTGGTACACAGTTTGAAAATGCAGGCCGTGTCATGCTTTGAAAAAAATCATTTTATACTTGAATTTGGTGGAAAATGTCGGACCCTAAACGTTCTGGTCTTATAACAGTGAGTGCTCCAAAAAGTACAAAGAAAAAACAGGAGAAAACAGTGAGATTAACTATAAATTTGGACGAAAGCAACGAAAGTAAATATCCTGAGTTGGATTACTATAAACTAGTCAGAGAAGCACGGGTAAGTTATAACAGAAAATCATAGTAATTTACGCAACCATACTGGTTTTTCAGCTCTTTGTGTTATAGGGAATCGTGTGAAAAAATATGAGAGCGATATCTTGACGCGTTTGGCGGCTAAAGATGGTTGTAAGCCGAGCCTTGGTGAATTCGCTTAGGATATTTTTTGCTTACGTTACATAGCTTTGCATTAGGTTTGTTACATGATTTTGCGTCCACGGGCCGTGCGAGAAGCCCAGATATCGGTCGCCATGTTTGTAACAATCTAAGAAGAACGTTGTCAACCTAGGACATCTTTTACGTGGGCAATGTTTTGATCGGCGACGGTGACCGATTATCGGAATTTTATACAGAAAATAAATAACTTATTAATAAGAATATACTAGAAATATTACAATGATCATTTGCTGACGACACCGGTGAATTATTATGATAGGTAACCACCGAGCGAAAGTAGTAGTCTTGGATGACCTAGGTTAACCCGCCTATTGCACTGTTTCCGGCAAAGGGCCTATTTTTAGGTTACTTTCTAATTATGATCAATTTTACATTATTTATATATTTTTAATGAAACATATGTTTCAAGTTTGCATTTACTCGTGAATTCAAAAGTCACCGAGAGTGCGTTTAGATGTGTGCGTTATGTATTTATTTACATATTATGCGATATGGCTGACGTAGTGCTATGTAAAATTGTTGGACTTTAATATTTTTTTTCATAATAATTTATATCATTATGGTAATGAGTTGGATTTGTTTGTATATAATATGTGTGTTTGTAAAATTGATAACCGATGTTGCCAAATGCGGTTTACGTTGCAAAATAAAGCAAGATCTGCCAGAGACGAGTTTCTAGGCAGCGTTTAGCGACCTTTCGAGTGTGCAAGCTTTTTGTTAGACATTTAACTTTAATCGATAGGTATTTTGTATGAATAACGTATAGGTTATGCTATACATTACGTGTTCGTTTATATGGTTGATCGATTTGTATGTTTGTGTGGATGATAAATAGAAGTTTTTTTGTATAGAATTGTAAGTGTAAATAAGTTTGATAGCGTTTTAGGTTATTTATTTTTTTTAGTCTGCTATTTATGCAATGGGAAGTGTCGCGTCATTTTACGCTTCCCGCCCCTAATATAGGATTTGCATAGATTATCTAATTACTTTGGTAGGGTTTTTTTTTTAATATCGCTTTTTGTTTATTCTGTGTCGTTTAAAAGAGTTTTATTTTGGTTTGTTTGACATTAACAGACTTGTTTTCGTAGATATTTGTATGTGTATTTGTATGTGTTATTACGATTTTCGATTTTTTTTGATAAGAAGTGTGATGACGCGGTAATGCATTTTGTTATCTTTTGTTTTAAAGTATAATAAACTTGTCAGATATACAGAGGTTGTTATATTAAATTTAATATTTATTATTGTTATCCTCATAACAAGTATGATATGAAATCTTTTTCATTGACTTAGACTAGCATCTTCATTTGACTTTGCATGGTTTTAAAAATAATATCAATTAAAACTTTATTTAATCTTAGTAGGTATGTTATAGTATTAGTAATTTTTTATTTAGTGTTAAAAAACTTATTTTTTTCTACAATTAAAGATCAATTGTCACAAATATTTCTTTTTAGTTAGATTTTATGATTTTATTTCATTGTTACTTACTTATTTCATGTTTAATGAAAAATGTGGATCTATATTTTTGTTAAGTACATAATATGAATAATAATTAAAGGTACCACTTTTAAAGGAAAAATACGATACATCACTATGACGTTCATGAATAATTAATTAAAATGTCAGTTCAAGAAACGACTTTATTACATTGCTTCTGTTTATTAATAAATTATCTAATTTGTAAGTGAAATAAGCTATTGCAATTATCGCATGTAGTTTTACGTTATTTTATCAGAAACTAGAATTGCCCGCGGCTCCACCCCGGTTCAGATGACCAAAAACCAAATTCTTAAGTTTTACATATTAGTATACTCTAAACTCTTATATTGCAGTTTTTGTATTTTTTCTCAGAAATGAGATATTTTCCAGCGGTAAAAAGTATCATATATGTTGAGCTGGATAACCAGCTATCTCCATACCAAATCTCATCAAAATCCCTCCTTTGGTTTTTTCGTGATGCGGTAACAGACAGACAGACAATAATTCTAGAAACTATTGATTCAGCCTCTGTATCGATAATTTAATGTCTATTTTAATAAGATTTTTCAAAAAATATTTAATGTACAGATTCGGATTAGTTAGAATTTCATTGTATGTATAGATGTATATAGTATATCTAGAATAAAAATATATTTTTTAATAAACTTTGGAGATTTCATGTGCAGGGAATACATAAAAACCACTTATATATTACTTTTACTGTTAATTATAATGCTATAAAGTTACTATAATAAAAAAATGTTAATAAAGGTGGCATTTATAAAAAGTAATATTTTTTTTATTTTTATATATTTATAATTCAATCTTTACATATTATCTATACATATAGTAAATTTCTCTACATGAAAGATATTTGAGAAAAACTATTATTGCAGGTCTTTATTAACATAATAGAATCCTAGACAATGATTTTTATATTTTTTTTCTAGTTATTTTGTCTGTGCGTTTGTGCACTCTAATCTCAGAAACGGCTTTACTGATTTTGGGTGCAGTTTTCAATAATGTATTGGAGTAAACTTTACTGAATATTTAGTATTTGTTTTATTTCAATCAGCTTCTAAATAAAAAACTTATGTCAATTTAAAGAATCACATAGGTATGAACCCAAGCGAAGCGAGGATGATTCAATAGTAGATTATACGTAATGTTCTGCCAAGGGTTAAGTAAAAGAACTATAACTATATAGGTACCTAATTAAATGTAACATGCAAATATATTAAATAACAAACTAGTATTTCATTGTCTGATCCTTTCTTTAAGAATAGATCTATAAATAATAATATGAATCATTTTGTTTATCAACTATTCATAAGTAAATATTAATTTTTTTTATTGATAAATCTCAAAAGAGTCACTGTCCCCATCAAACAAGGAAGAAAACCTGTAACATATAGAGGATAGGCAGTACTTGTAAATTATTGCATTAATACCTGATAATAGGCATCTGTTACCTTGACGGTAAAATAATAATGTCATTTGTGAATCATACCTACTTCAAGGCCTTGGTGCAAGAGGATTTTGCCTTTCTGTTTGTTTATTTGTGTAGTTTATTCATACTCCTATTAAACGATGACAATTTATATTATATATTTAATTTAATGATGATCTCATCAATTTAAATAAATTATAATACCTACTTTATTATCTGTAATTTTTACTTGTTGTTTCTTGTCATTAAATTCTAATTATTTTATTTAAATTTTTTATGTTTTTTTTTTTATTTTATACAAAGTTTTATCCAGTATTTTACCCCCTTATGGGATGAATTTCGAAAAATGCTAAAACACTTATTTAATTAATTGTATTGAAGAGCATTTATACTAAGTTTTAACTTATTATGATCATAAATATTTTTTTGGATTGTATTATACTTAACGTTGTAGTTTTCCCACGGGAAAGAGATAATCTTCCGCGGTAAAAACTATCTCCACATAAAAAATCACGCAAATCCGTCACGTGAAAGAGAGACAAACACAGTTTCACGTTTATAATATCAGTATGTAGACAAACACTTTTGAACCGCCAATTTTACATTTTAAATGTCAGTGTAATCAGCCCGTGAGGAAACTACCACCGGCTTGGAGACGGTTCTGCTGAGAAGAGATTTTAAATATTATTATCTAGCTCAATCTCATAATATAAGTATGGCAACTTTTCTCGCATGCTATTGAAATTCCATTAAAAAAAATCATGAATACTAGCATAGAAACCATTATTTTTTTCATAAAGATCTAAAAATCTTATAATTTGTATAAAGCAACAAAAAATTATATACTTTTTAAATTAACGTCTATAATTTTTAGGGTTCCATACCCGAAGGGTGCCAACGGAACCCTATGACTAAGCCTCCACTGTCCGTCCGACCGTCTGTCAGAGGGCTGTATCTCATGAACCGTAATAGTAGAGTTGAAATTTTCTGTGTGTATTTCTTTTGCCGCTATCACAACAAATAATAAAAAACCAAGATGGCGAATTTCCGAAAGGCTGCCATGCAAATTAAAAAAAAACTATCATGGTACGGAATCCTTCGTGTGCAAGTCCGACTTGAACTTCATTGATTTTTTAATCCAGTTTTAACAGTATAAAAAGTAATGATAGCAAAAAAAATTTAAAATATACCTACTTACATATAAATACATTTATTAACACTGGTTTTGAGCTTCATTTAAACATATTTTTTTTATATTTAGGCAAATGAAAAGAGATTGAATGGCACTACATCCGGACTGAACGATACTTTTTACGATAAAGATGATGATCAAGTTAAGAGAATTGCTATGCAAATGGAACAGAAGTATGTAAGTAATCATACATATCAATAAAAAAATGACCTAATCGAAATTTAAAGGACCAGCATAAAAAAGTTATATTCTTATCTTCTCCATTTAGATTTCTTCAAATGAAACAATTGTTAATGGTCCTCAAGAAGGGGATTATATTATAGTTAATATTTATTTATGTATATCTATATATAAATAAAAATGAATTGTGCGCAAAACTCGAGAGCAAATCGGACTAATTCGGTCTTTTTTTTATTCAAATATTTGCTTAAGTCCGAGGGAGGTTCTTGTGAATTGTGTCATCAAATTTAATCCAGATCCGTTCAGCCGTTCTGGTGTGATTGAGTAAGAACCATCCATCCATCCAAACTTTTACATTTATAATATTTATAGAATTATGGGACTTACTCCTACTATCCTATATACTACCTCCTAATCCTGACCCTCTATTGTTAATTATAGCGGAAAGATTTTCACAAATATTTAACATATCATATGTTTGGGTATTTTTCAGGGTAACCAAAGTGCATACGGCAAGAAAAGCAAGTCCAACGGAGATGACGTAGATATAGGAGCTGGATATGACGATAACGACTCTTTCATAGATAATACTGATGCGGTAAGATTCTCCTTTAATATGTAAGGCTAGATTTTCAATTAAATTCTCTAATTAATCCCTCCACGACCGCGGACACGTCGGCGTTACAGTTAACAATATTATAAGATTTACCTGGAGGTGTTAATGGCTTCAAAGCGTGCCAGTTGAGCACAGATTACTTCGCCAATGTCACATAGAATGGAGAAAATGGTTATTATTAGAATGAACCAATAGGGAATGTGCGTGTGATTTAAATAAAGGTGATAATTTTTTTTTAGAAGAGTTATTGCTTTTGAATTAAGCCTCTATTATTTTTTTTAATATAAATTCTTTTTGATTTAGAAAATAATTATTAAAAACTGCAAAGATATGTGGAAAATTCAAAGTATGTAGTTGAAACGCACGCCATTGGTTTGACCGAATATGACGTCAGAGTATATCATAACAGAGCGAAAAAAACAAAATAATACTAAATTTTAGTTTTTTGGAGCTGGATATATTTTTACAATTATATAACAATGTTAGCTATTGTATAAAAAAATTTAAAAAAAAATCACGCATATTCCCTATAAGTCCATATATTAGTTCTGGTTAGAAATTTAAATTACAGTCTGTTAGTTGGAAAAGGTCATTATACAGTTGTTATAGACAGTAACTACCCACAAAAATTAATTACAACGATTTCAAAAATACAAAAATGGCACCTTAGTATCTTCTGTGACCGTGTTTGTTGTAAAGCATTCGTGCGAATAAATCCATCTATCTTTTTCTTTCAAAATTCGAAATGTTAGATTCAATTAAAATTTGTAAAGATTTGATATTATAGAAATAGTAAAATTGTCCTTATTAAAAACAAGCAATGGTTTCCAATTCATCTGGATATTTTGTTTAGATGATTTATTTGTCATCTTTGTTGTGTGTAATAAGAGAATTCTTTAATTATATTAACTATACCTAAAGAAATCTAAGAATAAACTACACTACATTGGAAAATTCTTATCAGATTGTTTTAATTTAAATAATATTGGTAACATGTTTATTATTTATTATTTCAGTACGACGAGAGGATAAAGCCAGACGAAGAGCCCATGTACGGTGGTTTCTACATTAATAGTGGCTCTCTAGTGTTTAAAAAGGTCTCTGATAAACCGAGCTTCAGGAAAGACAGAAAGGTAAAATTGTTTATTTTAATATATACATTTATTTGGAGTTAGCTTCTTAATCATGATATAAAAAACAAAGGTCTTCGCTGCGTCTGTCTATATGTCTGTCTGAAAGCAATAAACTCAAAAACTACCGAATGGATTTTTATACGGTTTTCGCGTGAGGAGTTTAGGGAGATTCATGGTAAGGTTTAGGTTAAAGGTTTAGGTGTATAATTTATTAAAGTTTTGTGTAAATTAGTTGAAATGTTATGACGATGATTGTTGAAGATGTCGAAAAAATTATGCCGACTGCGAGCATTATTGGCGTGCGTCGCGTACACTACTAAAGTTATATTAGAACAATGTATTATGAACTGTAGCAGTTAGTTGTTTAGTTAGTAGCACAAAATTTAGTAAAAACGGTACAGTACTTTTTGCGTGAAATGCACACAGACATGCAGATAAACCAACAAATATTTTATTAACTATTGTTTTGGGGTTTATATTCCGTACAAAGTTATAACGTCACATTTATTTACTTTTTAAATATTTCATGTACAGATTTTGCTTCGTTACTATTTTATTATATGTATATGAGATACACCCGTTTTCACTTACATTTATTATTTTAATTAATTCATATTTTACTCTTTCAGCATCGTATAAATTCAAGCAGCAGCAGTAACAAGGAGTCGGACTCGTCGTCAGATTCAGACAGTCAAGATGCAAAGGACTCGAAGGATGCTGTGAATGGTGTCGATTCTCATGAAACTGAGCATAGGAAAAAGGTGAGTTAATTTAAACGGTATATCAAATTATTTTAATTTACATAAAATATATATTTTATATCAAGTTTCTATACTACAAGGAAAAATATTTGCGTATTTGAATGAAATTTTTAGATGAATTAGACGATGAAAGTAATTATTGTTTTATTACCAACGTCTGTTATTCACTTTTTCATGTAAATTTCATGTCATCAGTACACAATACTTAAAACATGTGACAAAATAAATGTCTATCAATCCGCACTTGGCCAGTGTGGTTAACTATGGCTTGATCCCACTCGTATTGAAGGGAGGCCCGTGCCCAACCATGGGACGTAAAAAAGTACTGAATACATACAATAAATGTTTTCTTTTTAAATTAAGAAAAATATATATAATAAAAAAGTAATAATAAATAAATAAAGAGTATTTTTTTTATTTTGTAGAAGAACAAAGATATTGATAAGGAGAAAGCTAAGAAGATACGACGGACGGATTCGTCGGCGGCCACGTCTGGGAAGCAAACTTCGGACGGTAAGTAATGTCAAATCTATATTAATATTATAAAGAGGTAAAGTTTGTGAGCTTGTGACGTTGTAGGAGGTAATCTCCGGATCTACTGAACCGATTCAGATGAAATTTGGTAAGAAGATAGTTTGAGACCTTGGGAAGGAAGGACATAGGATACTTTTTATCCCGGAAATCATCCTGTAAGGGGGTGAAAATGGGGACGACAGTTTTTGTATGGGGAAACTAGCTTTCTAAATAAATAAAAATGAATCTCCGAAATGTATATACGCGCATAACTTCCTATCGACTGCACCAAATTGGATAATTCTTTTTTTTTGTGTTTGCTATTGTCAGGAAGTTTTGTATAGAAGAAAATTAAAAGAATTTTTTTTTTACTAAAATAAGACTTTTTTTGAATCTTGTGATATGAAAAGTGAGTGAGAGAGAGTTAAATAGTTTTTATCCCGGAAATCATCCCTTAAGGGGTGAGAATGGGGATGAAAGTTTGTATGGGGCAGCAAGCTAGATATGAATCCGAGCGAAGCGAGGGTAAGTCGCTAGTTAAATTTAAAACAGGGACAGTTCTATGGATGGTACAATCTTATATGGGATGACTGTCATGGGTCTAAAACCAGTTTGGAAGGAGAAAGCCTCAGTACTGAGAAGAACTGCTGAAAGTAACTGTGAGATTATAATAATATTTTTTTCCTTTTTTAAATAAAATTTTAAATGGGAATAATTTTCTTACATTGAAATATAGCTTACATTTTATTAAAATAAATATATTTTTTTACACAAGTAATTTTCCAATATAAACATGTTTTAAAAAATATCTTTTCGGATTTTTTGCGGATTTTGTACGATTTTTGATTCCCGACGTTTCAAATGTTTTACATATGTTATTTATTGTATTTAATATAATGTAAAATAATATATTTAATATAATAATAATAATTTACAGATAATGGACAAGGCGATGGCGAGAGTGCAGACTCGAGGACGTCGGACTCACTCACGTCTAAACCAGCCCCCAGTTCAGAGAATGCAATCACATCGGACAGCTCCAGGTATAGATTGTGATGTTTACTTCTTTAGGGTTCCATATCACAAAAAGAAAAAAAGGTACTCTTATAGGACCACTTTGCTTTCTGTATCTCTGTCCATCTGTCCGTTAGTCAAGAACTCAAGAACCTTTTTGTCAGGGATGCGTGGAGGTATCAAATTGATAATAATATTAAATACTAAAGTCTGCAATCCCTTCAAGGTGTTAAAAAAATTAAACTTCTAAGTCAAAATATTCAAAAGATATGGCTATTTTGACACTCACAAGGAAATTAAAACTTATAAGAAACTTCCCGTTGAGCTAGAATCATGAAATTTAGCAAGAAGCAATGTCTTATACCACAAGAAGAGGGAAAACCTAAATGAAATCCATTAATGACGATACGTTTGGCTCAGTTTGTAGTGAGCCTACTTGCTGTACCAGTGGTCACGTGTTCGAGTCCCGCTGGGGGCATTCATTTGTGTGGTGAGCCTGAATGTTTATACTCCAGTCATGGGTGTTTGTATTTATAATATACTAGCGGACCCGACAGACGTTGTCCTGTCTACACGTCTTTAATTTGAAAATTTCAAACTTTTTTTAATAATTTTTTTGATGAAAATTATTATTCAAATTGCGAATCTAAACCATTCCCAGATCCCCTTAAACACACACAAAAAATTTCATCAAAATCGGTCCAGTCGTTTGAGAGAAGTTCAGTGACATACACACTCACAGAAGAACTATATATATAAAGATATGTATTTAAATTTTAAAGTTATATATGTGTAGTGTATCAACTATCGGTATCCATAACACAAGCCTCGTAGCTTACCATGGAACTAGATGGTGCTGGGTTTTAATGTTCCAACAAAATAAATAAATTAAGCTGCATTTAGTTAACGTTGCATCTGTGGACTGTGGCTTACACCCTTTTACTTTTTCGATGCTGATCTATTATTATTATTGTACAATTCCATATTAAAAAATCTATGACGCTCTGTCTGTATTATTCCTTAGTCTGAAAGGTATAATGAAAGATAGTTCAAAAAATAGTTCAAATAATTAAAAAAAGTTTTTTTTTTTTCATCCTTGATGGTGGAATTTCGTCATCACAGTGGCCATTTGTCCAAACGACCAATTTACCAAAAGAGTTTTACTACAGTATTATTCACGTTTAAATGTCAATATTATTGGTATTAAATGAGCCAAAAAATAACGCATTCATCTAAAATCCACAGAGATGCAGAAACGAAGGAGGAAATGAAACAGCTGCCATCTTCAGTCGGCCAACAATTAGAAGAGTTGGAAATGTTAAGTCGTCAGTTCCATAAAGACGATGAAAGGATTGAGCAGTGGTTCAGAAGGTAATATAATTTTAATATAATAATCTAAATACATCTATACAGATAAATAAAATTAAAGTGCCTTTTTGTAATGTCAAAATAACAGCTTTTTAATAAATGTATATGAAATTATATATGGTATGTTTAAGAGAAACAATTGTTAATATTTTTGTCTGTCTGGCTGTTTGTTCCGGCTAATCTCCAAAACGGCTGGACTGATTTTGACGGGACTTTTGCTGACAGATAGCTGATGTTATAAGGAGTAACTTAGGCTACTTTTATTTTAGAAACAGAATTAGGGTTCTGCTCAAAAAATGTAAAACGTATTTAAAGAGTGCCCGAGCGAAGCGAGCGTTAGTTGCTAGTTTTTTATTGTAGGAAAGCAATTCTAATAAAATAGAAAGTTTAACAACACTTATTGCTCGGTAATACTTTTTACAGTGACGTTGTTAGTTTTATTAAAGAGAAAAGAAAAAAGTACGCTTTAGTTCTACGTTTCTGAACCGAACTGCTAAGGTGTGGAGCACCCGTCAAGGCAAGAGTGAATAGGCATCTTCTAGGCAAGCGCGCTAAAATCTAGACCTCATCAGTTCTTCCCAGTGTTGATTGTCGTCAAGCGCAAGCCTATCTAGTAATAAAAAAAAAGTAGGCACACAACCGCCACAGATTAACAAAGAGATTGGAACTGTCTTCATTTATAAAATTACAATTAAATATTTCATGTTTACTATTAACCGACAGTTATATAATTAAAAAATGTATGGGTTTCATCAAAATGAATTGATTGAGGTTCTACTGTTTACTTCTATATCAAATCTATGAGATAATATTATTGTCAATATCTCGATACGACGCGACGTTTGTAATAAAATCTTGAAAGTTGATCGTTAGTTAGCTGTATAAGTGAAGCTTGAAATTTTACTTATTTTAACATGAATTAATTTTAATATATAAGTTTAAACAATCCATACTAATATGTTAAATGTGAAAGTGTGTTTGTTTGTCCTTCTTTCACGTGGAAACTTTTTTTTTATTATTATTATTTTGTGATATTATAATAAAAAAAATCAGTTATTAATTTATTTAGCATCTAAATAAGAATTTTTTTATTATTTTTCAGCCTAGAAAAGATCTTAAACGAGGCCAGTGCGAATGATAACGTACGACGACTCGCGTCTAATTGTATTGTCAAGATTTTGAACGTAACTCCTGACTCGAAGTTATTGCAACGACTGAAAACGCCATCTTCACTGCCAGAAAGTAAAGGAGTCTGTAAGTTTTTATATATACTTATAAATATAATTATATATTGACTGGTAGCCCAGTGGTAACGGGCTTGGGAAACCGAGTAAAGCACTCGCACCTCTGATATTTTCATGTGCTAATCATTTTTAACATGATTACCACTTGCCTTACGGTGAAGGAAAACATCGTGACGAAAACCTGCATGTCTTAGCGAACCTAGCAAGTTTTCGTCGAAAGACGTGTGAAGTCCGCCCGCACTTGGCCAGCGTGGTGGACTATGTTATGACCCCCCTCGTATTGAAGGGAAGCTCGTGCCCAGCAGTGGGACGTTAAAAAGGGCTGAATAAATACATACAAATATAAAGTATATCTTGATTTGATTGTCTGTCATTATACATTTTTCCAATTTTTCTCTTTGTAAGACACTTCCTCGGACTTAGCGAATATTTGAATAAATAAATAATTAGTCCAATTGTTCTTGAGTTTTGCGCATAGCAACACATTTAGCGATTCCTTTTTTATTTATACCTATAGATATAAATATTCGCGTAAATCTAAGAAAGTATTATATGTTAAACAATAATATGTTGTATGTCTTTCCAGCTGTAATACCATCATCTACCTCTCAAATTGCTCTATCCACTGCCATTGTAACCACATCAACCACCATGACCAGTTCACTACATAATAAGAGGAAAGCAGACGATATGTTGGATAAATTAGATGTTAATAATCTCACAGAGGCAGAGAGAGAGGCCAAAATTGAAGAAACTTTGCTCAGGTAAATAGTTGCTATTATTTGGTGTTGGAATAATAATAATATAATAATAAAGCCTTTATTTTTATGTTATACAGGTTTTTTATTTTAACATTTATACATCTTACATACTAACAGATCCCTTTCGGGTATAGGTCTCCTCCAAGCTCTTCCATTTTTCTCTGTCCTTGGCAATATTTATCCATTCTGGTCCAGCTATTTCTTTTATATCGTCTGACCATCTTTTCTTTGGTTTTCCTTCTCTACGTTTTCCTATTGGCCTATTGGTGGTATCTTACATCCCCGGTCAACATTTTAGATACTTTTCATCCTAAAGAATTTCCGTGGGATAGTTGAAAACTATAGTAAATTATACAACTTAGTATACAAAAACTACTGATTGGATTTTAATGAAAATTTACAATAATATAGTTTATACATCAGAATAACAAATAGACTACTTTTTGTCCCGGAAAAATGTACGATTTCTGTAGGATAGATTGGTTTTTGTTGTTTGTGTTGTTGTTTGTCGAGGGTGAGCCGCTAGTTCCATTTAAATTTAAAAAATGTATAAAAGGTACGATTAGAAAGTAAGTGCTTTATAAAAGTGTATTTGAAAAGTATATTTTGATTTAATTCAATTTCTGGGAAAGTCATTGTGATTTTCCTTTGATAGTTCTTAATAGTGTCTAGTCTTTAGAGGAATGGAATTGTTAGATATATTAATAATCAGCAGGTTTTTTTTTTTTCAATAAACAAACACAATCTTAGTAATTTTAGAGTTCTACTGCGTGTTCTTAATTATTTAGGGATGTTCCAATGGAACCATGCAATAACTTTAATAACTGTTTAGTTTAATGTATTCTACAATGTTTAGTTTAACTTAGTATTCCATAAATTACATTTTTCTTTTTAAACACAACTTTAATAACAAATCGATACATGTAACACGGCATCTGTTGACAATTTTTTGAACTAATTTTTCTTTGTTCGTGATGAGACCCCATGGCTCTAGACACTATGTCGCCACATAATCATAATAGTGTCTAAAAATACTTTAAATTTTTTATCTATTTCTTCAGAGATAGTACTTATTGAAATTATACTTCTTTTGGCACGTTTCGAAAATAAATATGAGAATAAAAATTTTACGATGCGGGCGCACACCGATAACCAAAACGCGACATGATGAAGATAGCTGAAACCGTCATGATGTAGTTCCCAGACAGACAAAAATTCTAAAAACTACTTCGCTATTTCAATAAGATTCTCCAACAAAATATTTAAAAGGCCCTATACGATATAAAAACGAGCGAAATTAGTTATTTGACAAGAGGAAGCGCTCTGGAGTCGTCGTCTGATGATTAAACCGTTTTGATCCTTTAATATATTTACGAGTATTTTACATTTGCGGGGCTAATGCTACCACCGCTGCTGGCTTTGCTCCAGTAGAAAATATTTATATCTGTACTTTTTGTAATTTTTTAATTTGTATTATTTCAGATTAAAGATTTTAATAGAAGAACGCAAGCCGGCCATGATGGCGGCGTACAAGGCGGACTGTGACAGGGTTCAGGAAGAAAAGTGAGTAGTAAAATTACACGGAGACATGTTTCCATACAATCTTGGATCTGAAATGTAAAATATTTTGTATACATAATATTAACAATTACAAACATTTTTAATAATACTAGCGGTCCACCATCGCTTCGCTCGGATTCGCCTCTAGAAAAACGAAAACAAATCTATACCACGGGACCGTACAATTCTCCGGGATAAAAAGTAGCCATTTGTTATTATGACGTATACGGTATAAGCTATATTATTGTAAAGTTCCACTAAAATCCATTCATTAGTTTTGGCGTGAAAGATTAACAAACAAACATCCATACATCTGCACTTTATGCATTTATAATATTAGCAGGATATCCGATATACATAGTCTTGCCCTAAATATTGTTACAAAGAAAAAATCATTTTTTCTATTGCACATAACATTTATTTCTATTACAGTGTGTTAGTTTAATACAAAACCAATAATATGGTTTTATATAAAACATTAATATAAAACCATTAAAAATATATAAAGCTTATTCGAAGTGGTCTCCATTGGCTGCAATGCAGTCCTTTAAACATTGAGGCCAGTTATAAATAGAAGCACGCACTCTTTCTATGGTTTGTTCCAAATTATCATGGCATTTAGAGCAAGCCATACTCCCTCAAACTGACCATAAATCATAATCCAGCGGATTAATATCGGGACTAGATGACGGCCAGTCTTCAGCTCTGATGAAGTCCGGAACGTGGATTTGCTTGGATCGACCTTTATGACCCGGCGCCGTGTCTTGCTGAAAGGACCATTCTTGGTTATTCAACATAGTGTTGTTAAGGATCTTGACTACCTTCTCAAGAATGGTATCTTGATACACTTGTGCCGATGTTTTGATACCTTTTTCACAAAAATATGGCTCAGTCACTCCTTCATAGCTAACACCCCACCAAACCATCACTGAAGTCGGATAATGCCCACGTTGTACTCTGTTGACTAATTGGAAAGCTTCCTTAGAACTTTGAGCATAAATACGGTCATTTTGTTTGTTAAAATATTGCTTAGTTGTAAAAAATTTCTCATCTGTAAACAAAACTTTTCTGTGACCTCCCCTTGCGTACCCTAATCTCCCGAGATAAAACCTTTTGCTTTCCGATTTCTTCGAATTCTTTCCCTTACTGCTTTGATCGCCTTTTTCGTAAGAACACTACGTGGACGGCCAGATCTTTTTCTGTCACAAACAGTGGAGGTTTCACTGTACCTATCCATAGCCCGATACAAATACAGTTTTAAAAATTGTATTTCGCTCCCATACCTACTTTGTGTAATGCAATCACAGCGGATTCGGTTCTCTTTATTACCTCACTCCATTTTAATATCCCAAAATATTTACAATGTATTGGCGCGAAAATGAAAAAAGTGAAAACACAATGAACAATCATATAAAAATGACATTCCAAATTCAAATGTAATATTTTGTTTATTTTTAATTGTAACAGAATTTATGGCCAGTCGCCAGACTATATATTATACGTACTTATTACTAAGGTACGCATCTCAAAAATTACTTTTAATTAAGATTATGGCATCTTGACCTTAGCTGAGTCAAGACGCAGGACGCCGCAATCTGAGCAACCTCCACTACATATCATTCTGAAGTGAACGTAACGCTTGCGTGATGCAGCCTACTAGTGCCGCCATCTAGTTGACATACATTGGACTTCTATTATTACTAAATTTTTCTCATCTATACATAATATAATAAAATTGTAACTAAGCCGAATCTGTACATTAAATATTTTTTGGAAAATCTTATTGAAATAGACATTATTAATCGATTTCAGAGACCGAATCTATAGTTTTTAGAATTTTTGGCTGTCTGTCTGTCTGTTACCGCATCACGGAAAAACCAAAGGAGGGATTTTGATGAAATTTGGTATGATGATAATTGGTTATCTGGGTCAACATACAGGATACTTTTTACTGCGGGAAAATATCTCATCTCTCAGAAATCTATACTTAACGTTGAAACGTAAGTAGGGACGAACGCGAGCGGAGCGAGGGTGAGTCGCTAGTTTTATTATATAACTAGCAGCACCCGCGGCTTCGCCCTTGATCAAACGTTATAACTAATAATAATTTGATGGCTGTAATGGTTTTCAAACGTGTGAGTATGATTTTGACTCGCGCATCGAGGGTTCCGTACCGCCGAATATTGTGTTGTTTTCAGTAATATCTTCATTCTTTATACACTAAAATGTGTTTTTTTTTACGTTTTCACAATACATAAATACTTTATTACTTGCACAAATAAGATCATGTTTCTTAAACATATTATAGAAAACAAATTTTTCTTTTAGTGATAAAAAGTACTGCATACGTTATTAACGTCCCATTTCTGGGCACGGGCCTCCCATCAATACGAGAGGGATCAGGCCATAGTCCACCACGCTGGTCAAGTGCAGGTTGGCGGAGTTCACATGTATTTCGAAAACTTGCTAGGTTCTCTCAGGCACGCAGGTTTCCTCACGATGTTTTCCTTCACCGTTAAGACAAATGGTAATCATATTGGAAATGAATCGCACATGGCAATATCAGAGGTGCGAGACCCGGGATTTGAACCCGCTTCACTCGGTTTCCCAAGCGAGCGCGTTACCGTTGAGCAACCACTGATAAACATTTATACACCATGTATATAAATGTTTAATATATTAGTCTTATCTATTCCATACTAACCATTGAGATATAAATTTAAATTAAATTTTAACAAATTCCAGGAAAAAGCTACAGATCGCCGCTTCATCGCACGGCGCACCGCATATAGACAAGCGGCGTCCCAAGCGTCGCTTCCCGTGGTGTCCGCGAGCGAAGGCGTTGCTGACGCGCCTGGCGTCGCTGGCCGCCGCCGGCGCGGGCACCAGGGCGCCAGCAGCGCATGGGAGTGCAGCGGCAGAGCTGCTGGCCAAGCGGGCCCTGCCACTGTTCCCGGCTGGGTTTGTTCGTATGCCCACTTTGCTGAAGCAGGCTGAGTGAGTTGGGGTGTTTTTTTGTTGTTGGAGTTGTAGTAGTGCTGTGTGTCTGTTTTTATTGTTTTTTTGGTGGTTGTAACTAAAAAGGAAAAGGATATATAGGATAATTTGCTTGTTGTTTAAACAATCAAAATGTTCATACATGACTCATGAGACAGCGAAACGGTTAAGATTTAATGCTAAGAAACCCTCGCTGTGTGGTAGACACTGACACTGACTTGCACTTGTCCAATTTTTTTATTTTTTGTTTTTATGATATTGATGGTTCTAGTCTGTCGACACATGATCTACAAATGTACCAAGTGTCATTTGAATCTCTTGTTCATTGATTTTACGAGTGATAAGTGATAAAACTTCATACGCTTTTGCTTTTACACAATTTCGCACTTATTTAATTAGGATTTTTCATTTTAATTAGTATTAATATATCTAAAGGACATGCAGGGATTTTTTTTTATTAAAAATTCGAAAATGATGTGAGAAGAAAAATGAATAAAATTACTATTTTTAATTAAAATTTATGTAAAATATAACAAAAATATGAAAGAATTTATTAAAATATGTCAACAAATGAAAAAGTTATGAAACTGTGTACTTTAGGAGGTAGGGCACAGTGGGGTATATACCCTACTCGAATTGGAGCAGCCCGACTGGCAAGTACCTCCGCCTTACAGAAAATCGCAGCCAAATAACACTGCTCTATGACGGTGTTGTGTTCCTGCGGTGAGTAAGGTATCCAGAGCTCCAGAGGATTTATTGTGTTGATAGAGAGGGGCCGGTGATGCAAACGGCACAGTCATCGGCCGGTGTAGGCGCGGTGTGTGGGCGCAGCGGTCAGTGAGACCCAGTGAAACGGTTCGTCGCTGGCCGCCCGCGGGTCAGTAGAGTTCCCGAACCCAGGGATTACCTAATCTCCGCCCTGGGAGGCTGAACTGCCAACCCGCGTAAAATCCCTGCTGTAGCAGTCGTGCCGGAGGAGGAGACCGGGGTGGACCCGGCTGTTGCAGTAGGGGGGGACTGGGGGCCCTCTCGTACGCTGCGCTGACAACCCGTACTACCTATGCTAGCCTGTGGCTGGTCTGCATTGCAAATTTGCCCCTTTACCTATCAACACAACAAATCCTCACAACAACCTATAAACCACCCCCACCAAGAAAATGAAGAACAAAAGGAAAAAGAGTAAGTGTTACACAGCGGCTCCCATCTCCACACAAGTGGACTTCTGCAACATCAGGGGGCTCCATGCAAACCTCAGCGCAGTCCATCACCATCTGGAGACTGCGCAGCCGACCTTACTATTCCTCACGGAGACGCAAATATCTTGCCCGGCCGACACATCATACTTGCACTATCCCGGCTACAAACTAGAACATAAGTTTCTAAGACGTGCCGGTGTATGCATGTTCGTTCGGGAGGATATCTGTTGTCGCCGTCTCCTTCATTTAGAGGACAGGGACCTCTCGATATTGTGGGTGCGCGTGGACTACGGTGGCCACACCCGTATTTATGCGTGCCTATACAGGTCTCATAGCGGTGACAGGGAAACAAAAAGACTCTTCGAGCACCTGCAATTGACGACGGACAAAGTTCTTGAGCAATACCCCTCTACGGAGTTGGTGATTTTAGGAGACTTTAACGCCCACCACACTGAATGGCTCAGTTCTCGGTCCACTGACTACGCGGGGAGGTGTGCTCACGAATTTGCTCTGGCCTATGGTTACTCACAACTGGTGCATTCTCCAACAAGAATACCAGATATTGAGGACCATACGAGCTCAATACTGGACCTTCTGCTGACTCAACGTCCGGATGGATATTCCATCTCAGTAGATGCACCACTTGGCTCGTCCGACCACTGCCTTATCCGGACTCTTGCACCATGCGCGCGCCCAGATCCACCTCGGCCAACTAGCTTGCGGCGTATGTGGCAGTATAAGTCAGCAGATTGGGATGGATTGCGAGAGTACTTCGCATCGTACCCGTGGAGGCAATTGTGCTTCACATCAGAAGATCCCGACATCTGCGCAGCTGCTGTCTCCGAGACAATATTGGCGGGTATGGAATGTTTCATTCCAAACTCGCTAGTTGCTGCCGGGAAAAAGAAACGACCGTGGTTTAATCGGCCTTGTAAGAAAGCGAGATACATTAAGCAAGCCGCGTTCAGGGATTGGATCACGGCTCGGAGTAATAGCGATCCAAATCTTTCTGATGTGAAACGCAAACTAAATTCCGTCTCGAGGTCCAGTAAAAAAACAATTGTCAGAGCTTTATTCGAGTTCATCGGGAGAATTGGCGAAAAGCTGGCTAGTTACCCTTCCGGGAGTCGTGCCTTCTGGTCGCTCGCCAAAGCTGCCGAGGGGAACTTTTGTCTGTCGTCCTTACCACCACTGCAAAATGCCGACGGCAACCTGGCCCATAGCGCCAAAGAGAAAGCCGATCTACTAGGTACACTCTTTGCCACAAACTCGACTTTGAAGGTCAATGAAAGCGCCGCACCGCCAACCATCCCACGGTGTGGACACTCCATGCCGGAAATAAATTTCTCACAAAGAGAAGTCCGGCGGGAGCTGCTAAGTCTTGATGTTCATAAGTCGAGTGGGCCCGACGGCATACCAGCAGTGGTACTCAAACAGTGTGCTCCTGAGTTGTGCCCTGTACTAACGCGACTTTTCGCACTTTCCTACCAATCTAGGCAAGTACCGTCTTCGTGGAAGACCGCCCATGTGCACCCGGTGCCCAAAAAGGGCGATAGATCAGACCCATCGAATTACAGGCCTATCGCTATTACCTCTCTTCTCTCCAAGGTTATGGAGCGTGTTATTAATACCAAGCTCCTCAGATACTAGAGGAACACGATTTGATCAGCGACCGGCAATACGGCTTTCGCCACGGTCGCTCGACTGGTGACCTTCTAGTGTATCTGACACACCGGTGGGCTTCAGCTATCGAGAGTCAAGGTGAGGCGTTGGCAGTTAGCCTAGATATAGCAAAGGCGTTCGATCGGGTCTGGCACCGGGGTCTTCTCTCGAAGTTGCCATCTTACGGACTACCCGAGGGCTTGTGCAAATGGGTTGCCAGCTTTTTATCTGGTCGATCCATCAGAGTCGTCGTTGATGGCTGCTGCTCGGAAAAACTAGATATAAACGCTGGCGTCCCGCAAGGTTCTGTGCTGTCTCCAACGCTTTTCCTTCTGCATATCAATGACTTGCTGTCTATTGATGGCATTCATTGCTATGCGGACGACAGCACTGGAGACGCTTTCTACACAGGCCGTGCAAACATCCCTCGCTCCGCTGTGGTAGAAAGTCGCGAACAACTTGTGTCTCAAATCGAGAGTATTCTTTCCAGAGTCTCCGATTGGGGTCGGGACAATTTAGTCCAATTTAACCCCTCCAAGACACAAGTTTGTGCGTTCACCGCTAGGAAAACCCCATTTACTGTGGCCCCTCAATTCCAGGACACACCCCTAACCATCTCCAACAGTATTGGTATTCTTGGTGTCGACATATCCAGCGACGTCCAGTTCCGAAGTCACTTGGAAGACAAGGTCAAGCTGGCATCCAAAAAGCTAGGTGTGCTTAATAGAGCGAAGCGGTACTTCACGCCGGGACAAAGACTGCTTTTATATAAATCGCAAGTCCGTCCCCATATGGAGTACTGCTCGCATCTCTGGGCGGGAGCACCGGCATACCAGCTTGGGCCTTTTGACTCGGTTCAGAGGAGAGCTGTGAGAATTGTCGACGATCCAATACTCACAAGCGATATAGAGCCCCTAAGTCTAAGAAGAGATTTTGCGTCCCTATGTGTGCTCTATCGTTTGTACAATGGGTTGTGTTCCGAAGAATTGTTCGAAATGATGCCCACGGCCACTTTCTATCACCGCACCGCTCGCCATCGACAGAGAGTTCATGCTCACACATTGCAGCCCAAATGGTCCCGTACAGTTCGGTTTCAGAGGAACTTTCTCGCACGGACCATCTCACTGTGGAATGAACTCCCTGCCGAGGTTTTCCCAGAGGGCTACAGTATGGGGTCCTTCAAAAGGGGAGTAAATAGGTTTTTAAAGGGTCGGCAACGCGCATGTGATGCCCAAGGTGTTGCAGGCGTCCATAGGTTGCGGTAACCGCTTACCATCAGGCGGGCCGCATGCCTGATTGCCACCGACGTGGTATAAAAAAAAAAAAAAAAAAACTTTAAAGTTGCGCTTGTAACAATAATTTCGTGACGCCACACGACCTGAACAACCGATATTTATATTAATTTCTCAGTCATTTATTAATAGATTTCAAAAAAAGATACACTTATTTATTAGTTTTGATCTATATTATAATTCAATTTCATTTAATTTAATGTTAACATCATCATGGAACTTCTTCATTAGACCATTATTAGAAGATAGTACTTGACCAATAATAATAAGGTTGAAAACCATCCAGATGTTTTTGAGTAATGTAAGATCAATAAGACATTCAGACTATTTTTAGGCATTCGTAAATTATTATTATTAATTACTAGCGACTCACCGTCGCCTCGCTCGGGTTCGACCCTAGCTTGCTTCCCAAAACAAACTTAGGATATGTATATGTCCTTCCCAGGGTCTTAAACTATCTTCATACCAAATTTCATCTAAATTGGTTCAGTAGATGCACAGATTACCCTCTACAACGTCACAAACTCACAAAATTTATCTCTTTATAATATAGATTATAACTACAATTTCTACAAATATTTTAAATAATAATTTATAATATTTCTTTCCAGCCTGAACAAGGAATTCAAAGAGTCAGATTTAAAACGACCGCGACTTGCGTCGACGTCGCAGTCAGTAATAACCAATACGCAACAGTTCACGGAATCTATACAGTTCCCAAGTTCACTCACTGTTACGACATCAATCAAAACGGAAACAGATGAAGAGAAAGAAATAAAATATAAAAAAGCACTTTATTCCTCACTTAATTCTTATCCACTCAATAGGGAATTAAAAATAGAGAAACAAGAGGATGTAAAAAGGGAAGAGCGGTGTAAAGAAGATTCATACATTCCCAATAACATCGGCAGTATAACGATAACTCCAGTTACAAACCAGAAAGAGAAAAAATCCAGTGAAAAATCAAAAGAACCGTTAATACGTGTTAAATCTCCACACGCGCTTAACGAAATGATTCACAAAAAAGAGAAAGACAAAGTGAGAAAGCCGGAGAAGTCAAAAAATGTTGAATCTCCACTACACATAGACACGAGTTATGCAAATAAAAAAGAATTAACTAGTCCCAAACACAAAGATGAAATTACCCAAAAACATATCGAAAGTTTGAGAATAATGGAGAACAACATACCCACACCTGGCCTAGTTTCTGTGAGACATTCGCCAACGTTTGTCAAACCTGACAAAAGACCCCCCGAACTTAAGAAGAAGAAGGAAATCATTATAGTTTCAGATTTAAATCCTTTAGCGGATATAGATCAAGAACCGTTAACGTTGGATGATAGTAGCAGTGATGTGGAATTAGTGGAAGTGAAACCAGACAAAAGTGAACCTAAGTGTAAAAGTGAAGTGCCTTTGGAGGACAAAGTGAAAGTGAACAGTGTTAAACATATTGAAAAAGTTAGTGATGTTGATGAAATTACTGAACAAGATATTGCCGGGCTCACCAAGAGTATTCAGGAAATGAAGGTTAGTTTTTCTAATATAATATATTTTTAACTAAAGAGGTATATTCTAATTTCCAATGAAGCTTATGCTCGCCTGGTTCTTTTGATCGTGATGATGTCATATTTGGTGTTTTTAGTAAATAGTAAAAAGTGTAGTGACGGTCGAAATATTACACTTTTTTCTATCTAACTCTCATTCGCTAAGTGTGCTGAGCACTGATAACATGACAAAGAATTTTGTTTCAAAAATTATCATACTAATATATAGCCCACTACTGACAAAAATATTGCAATAAATGTTCTCCCATACTAAGTACTTTCTTCATTTTGAAGTAACCCAAAAATGAAATTGGCTTCAAAAAATTATATGCTTGTATACTTAAACTATTTTTTTTATTCCTTCCAATTTAAAATGGAATTAATAAATAATAATAATTAAAATTAGTTATATATATTACCTAAGTAATTTTAATTATTCACTCTATAAGCCTATAATGCATATCTTCAGCCAAGCAATTGTTATGGTACTTAATGCAAACTACTATAGGATTATGGTAAATGAGCTAAAATAGGTAGAAGTTGTAAATATTGTTGTAAGTATACAAGGAGGTTAGCGATATATATAAAATACTAGCGACTCACTTTCATCCCCATTTTCACACCCTTAAGGGATGATTTCCGAAATAAAAAGTATCCTATGTCCTTCCCAGAATCTCAAACTATCTTCCTACCAAATTTCATCTAAATCTGCTCAGTAGATCCAGAGATTACTCCCTACAACGTCACAAACTCACAAACTTTACCTCTTTATAATATTATTATAGATATCATACATTATAAATGACTGCATTCATATTTCAACACTACTACAATTATTTCTGCTACAAATATCTAATTTCAATAAAAGACGATACACACCTAATAAAAGCACCTATGTTCTAAGACTATTGGTAAAAACATTTTTTTTTTAATTTGGTTAAGAATTGGGATTTCTTCATTGTAACTGGCCATGTATCAAGTTTAAATTTGGCATTTAAATACTAGATGGTACAGTTAGTTATCTAGATTGCTAAGTGTGATACCATCTAACATAATAACAACAAAACATAACAAAACATTATTCCATTATCTTTAATTTTTTTGTCACATAAAGTCATTAATATTCAACAGAACTCAAGTAGATGAAATTTCATAATGGATAGTTTTTTTAAGCCTTAAACAACTTTCTAAATCTAAAAACTTTGCATACACTTGATTAAATAATTTTATTTATGAACATTTGTAGAACGACAATGCATATAGCCTATAATAGCCTTCCTTAATACTCGTTTATTATCTAACGCAAAAATATTTTCTCAAATCGGATTAGTAGTTCCTGAGATTAGCGCGTTCAACTAAAAAAAAACAAACAAACTCTATCTCCTTATAATATTATTATAGATACATAATAATTATATCTTGTAGTAGATAATTTAAATACAATCTTAGATCTATTTTTGATTTATTGATAATAACGTTATCACTTATGCACATTTCAGAATTCACAAGAGCCTGTAAATTTGAACTGCAATTCATATGGCGGTGTTATCACAAGTGGTAAGGATCTATTTAGATTTATTTACACAATTATGTCGCAGGCATATCGCGTGATCCGTCTTTTTACAAAAGGTCATCTCAGTGCTTATTTGTTCAATCAAGCAATTCACCGAAAGAATTTTTAATTCTGTTCGTATGAAATACACTTTTTACTTTGATAAAGCCGAAAAAATGTATTTTATCATTATAAATATGTATATAAATCTTAGAAATAAAGCTGTTTTTAAAATTGAAGAAATTATTGGTCGTTTGAACAAATAAGCAAATAAGGTGATAAACTTGCAAACGCTAGCGAGTGAAAGCCGCGTTGGCCTTCTTGATAGTTCTTTTTCTCTTAAACCCAAGAACATTTCCTAGTCACATTGCTGTACCACAGTCTACTAATTCATACAGTCGTCTAACGAAGGCCTCTAGACCAGCGGTTCCCAAATGGTGGTCCGCGGAACCCTAGGATTCCGTGGAAGGGTCACAGGGGTTCCTAGTTCAGTCTGAGAATTAAATGAAACAAAGCCGAAATTAAAGCCTAATTTTAGTCCTACATGTTATAAATAAATATGCATAAGCATAAATATTATTAATAGTATTAATATTTTTTATTTATGATTTGTTCTTTCAAGTCGAACAAGAAAGTATTCTAACTACAACACCATCGGTTTAATTATTATCAAAAAGTGGATCCGTTAAAAAAATTATGATCATTTGATCCTAATTGAAGCCTAATTAATTATGGTTCGGTGACCAAAACAGATTGGGAACCGCTGTATTAATCCATAAAGTCGTCTAACGAAGGCCTCTAGACAGGGTCATATTGCGGCGTGCGAAGAAGACGCTTCCGACTGGCAATACCTACTTTTATATAGAAGTCGGGAAACGGTTTAAGCGTTGACGAAGTACTTATAATTGCACACTACCGTGTTTTAGCTTCGAGACATTTCGCCATAGAAATTGGTATTTTTGACAATCCTTGCATTTGACAGCACTCCGTTAAAATCGATGGCCTACTTAATTGATCTATATACTTTGGCTGGCTTTACAATTTGCCTTGGTCATTTTATAAACGCCTCGCGTATTTGCAAACAGATGGCGCTTGCATAATAAACAATTATACAATATGCCTGCGACATATGTACTTCAAGTGGCCTGTTTTTCTTGTGAAATATAGAAATGTACAGACGTTTTTTTTTTCTTTTTATTATTATTTTTATTCATTGTTTTATATTGTCTGTAAGCAATCACAGATAAAAAAAATCTCTTTAAATATTTTTCTAAATACCTGCACAGATTATATGAGTAATTGTATTTTTTTTTTATTAATAGCAATATTTAGCAATGGTTAGGTTATGTAAAAATTTCATTTCTCTGTTTTGGCAAATATTAATACAATTTTTGAGTTTGAAATGAGAAAAAGTTAAAGTTTATTAAATATTATTTATGTATTATATTATAAATAATAATGAATATATCTTTATATATACTAACAAATCAATTATATATGTATGTAAGTTTATGTTGTTACCATATCTTAAAACTAACTAGATCTTAGCCAACTATTAAGAAGAAAATATTTAAAGTAGTTAGCATTTGCCCACTAAATGGAAAGTCACGAGTACGAATCTCCCTCTGAGCATTTTTACTCAGATTAATTGGTAATAGAATGTTCTAGACTTTTCAAAGAAATTTTAGTATAAATATGATAGAATATATTATTATAATATAAATATTAAATGAAGTTTTGTATGAAGCAGCTCACACTGCAAACAGACATGTGTACAACAGAAACGATACGCGCACTAGGGATAACTTGTAAGTTTTGTACTTGTAAACTGTAAACTTGCTAACTACCGAATATATTCATTGTTATATTCACAAGCGACTTAAACTGGCTTCGCTCGGATACCAGTGCCTATTTTTCTAAACGACCATTTAGGCCATTTCAATGAGTCTAAATACGATATATCTGTAGTATTGTAGTAAAAAATTGAGTATCTTGCATATTCCAGCTGACGCTGCAGCATCAGGCCTAGGTTTCTAAATCATTGCGATGTCATTAAAGTAACGGCATAGCAAGTTTCGAATCGACTAGATGAGTGGAAGTTGTTCATGTCCTTTCATATAACGATTGAAAGGATTTTCTTGATTTATAGCTCAAACAAAAAAAAACTAAATTAAAATCGGTTCATGGGCGCTCCGATGCTACCGACAGACACACGAATACACACGCTAAACTTATAACTCCTCTTTTTGCGTCATGGGTTAAAAGGCAGACACGTCAATTTTGTAAAATTTGATATCGCATGGTTTCATTTTTTCAAAAATTTCATATAGAAAACTTATATTTTATTCTGTATGGGAATATTCATGTGTTTAACCCTTTTTAACGTCCCACTGCTAGGCACGGGCCTCTTTTCAATCGAGGGGGATCATGTTAAAGGGAATATTTATATGCGCTTATATATATATATATATATATATATATATATATATAAGCGCATATGGTTTATTCAAAGGGTCCAGTTTTTTTTGTTAATTTTAAATCGACTAATTAACTAATAACTAATTAATAACTAACACAATATTCGTAAACTACAAATAGACGAAAATAATACTTATATACATATTATATTCTACATATAATATACCTATTGTCAAATGAGTTATTACAATATGAATTTTTGGAAGTTAGCAAGTTTTATTAAGATGCCTACGTGTCACGCTTTGTAGTGTCCATATGTTTATTGTATGGTAGAGATATCATTATGCTTAAGGCAAATATATCGCTTGCATTGTATGTTGTGGTCTTCTTAACGTCTCACTGCCGGGCGTGGGCCTCCCTTCAATACGAAGTGGTATCGGCATTAGATAGCCCGTTTATTAAGGAAGGCCATAGTCCACCACGCTGGATAAGTGGGCGGCGGACTTCACATGTCTTTTGAAAACTTGCTAGGTTCTCTCAGACATGCAGGTTTCCTCACGATGTTTTCCTTCGCCGTAAAACAAGTGGTAATCATGTTGGAAATGATTCGCACATTGTAAAATAAGAAGTACGAGACCCGGGATTTGAACCCGTTTCACTCGGTTTTCTAAGCGAGCTTTACCACTGCCCACTAATATTTCGCACAAAATGTATAAAAGTATATTCTCTTTTTCGGTCAAAATTTTTGATATAACGCATATTTAAATGTAGATTATTAAATATAATAATGACTGCCTCGGTGGTGTAGTGGCTAGCATGTACGGCTGCACACCCGGAGGTCCTGGGTTCGAGTCCCGGGTCGGGCCAAGTTTAGCTATTGTGTCTTTCTGTATAGTAAGCCTCAGTAACAGCCCGGAGTTGGGAAGTTGGCGGTGTTTCACCCCCGTGCCTCGGAGAGCACGGAAAGCCGTCGGTCCTGCGCCGACACTCTCACCGCGAGTGTCGAGTGTTCGTCTCACCGGAGTATGAGAGTGACAGGAATAGAGAGTGCACGTTGTGTCTGCGCGTACACTTGTGCACTATAATATCTCCTGCGCAGTTGGCTAGTCTCAATGAGGTTGGCCGCCGTAGCCGGAATCGGCTAGGAGAACATCTTTAAATATAAAACAGAATTATCGTTGAAATATTAATAATTATATTTTAATTTTTAATGCTATTGATGTTTTAATTTAAAAAAAAAATAGATATCGCTAATTGCAGTACTTGCTATACATTTTGCCTTTTCATTCACTAGTTTAAAGACCTATTATTGACTTATTACTTGTGTTTTTTTCTTCATTAAAGTCATACCTTTTTCTGACTATCACGCATCTCCTATGGCAAAAAAAAACACAAAATACACAAAGCTATTAAATGCACAAAAACAACATTTTTTTAATGAAAAAAGCACTGTTATTTATATATTTGTCAATAACATGTCATTAAATCATAATTTCATATCATTTATCGTATTAAAGTCTCCGCACACTTTAGACTTTGCGCGTTAATCAATAAAAATTTTAAAAGAAACAAAAAACTTGAAATATGCCAAAAAAAATGTGCAAATAATAAAAAAATAAGTACATAACTAATATTATATTGATTAAAGTTATATACTCAAGTTGACTAAACTATGACTCTTTCGTAGATTTACGTGAATATTTGATATTTTAAGTAAAACGTGTTGTCATTTTGGGGCTTTTCGCGGATTTATTTTGAATTTTAAGCACTCATGGTCACGGGAGAGATCGAAAATCAATTTAATATGCCAGTGTCGCGGCTAACCCCATCTAGCTTATCCATAAGGCAACTGCCTATGGAACTTGAAGTAGTTGCCACCGTTGGCCGTTGTGTGGCGCTGCGGCGATTTTCCCGGTGTCTATTTTTTGTGTGTAACATCATAGACAAGTCATAGACATTAATTAGATAGTGACAAGTGGAAATTCAAATCTTTCATTCTCTTTGTTAACTCGTAACGCTCCGAACATATTTTATATACGAAATTTTAAGAACCATTGTAAAACACGAAATTAAACGTAATTCGAGATAGTCTACGTTTTATTTGAAGACCGCCGTAGTTTTTGGCTGATCGTTGCTGAACCAGCCAGTTTAATAAATTAGGTTTTATTTAAACTATGTCTCAATAAAAAATCTACAGTGTGCGAAGCTCTTTGTTTGTTATTTTGTTGTTTCCGTAATTTGTATGCCATTTTCTATAGCAAGTGCATTTGTTTCAGCACAGAATGAAGAGAATAAGTTTTTTTGAAAAAAATGGATGGATACCGTCACAGGTGTGTATTATTGTATATTATTATATATTAATCTATACATATAATAAAATTCTAATTAAGTAGAATATGTATATTAATATTTTTAGGAAAATCTTATAGAAATAGTCATTATGATTGACACAGAGGCCGAAACTATAGTTTGAGTTTTTGTCTGTCTGTCTGGAAACGCATCACAAGAAAACCACAGGGCAGATTATAATAAAATTGGGTATAAATAAATAAATTTTAAAAGAAATTCTAATATATTACTCACATATATTATAAAAGCGTTTGTTAGTTTCTCCTGCTTTAATGCAGTAACTGAGCAACCTCTTATATGTGTTGGAGTGACATAGGGAGAAATAAATCAGATCATTAGTTTCGGGGCCTTTATCCTCCACCTAAACCAATAATCTTTATATCTTCAAAAATTTTAGATGACATAATTATTTAATTTATAATATGTACTAGCGACACAATCTCGTTTCGCTCGCGTTCGTCCCTAGTGAAAAACATAAATATCCCACGGGAACCGTACATTTTTCCGGAATAAAAAGTAACCTATGTGCTATTCCAGAATATAATCTATCGCTGTGCTAAATTTCATCCAGATCCGTTCATTCGTTCCGGCGTGATTGAGTAACAAACATCTATCCATCCAAATATCTAATATTATACATGCGACAGGCATTTATAATATTAATAATATTATATAAATTAATATTAAGGGTTTCGGGTAGAGATCTCTTAAAGATATAAGTACTCCTTATTTATATTATGTATATATATACTTAAGGTTTTTTTTTAGTTTAATGTAATTTATAGACTTAAAATATTCTGTAAATATTCGTATGTATAATAAATTTTTACACCTTGTGATATGTAAATGTATGATAAAAAAAAATACTCCTTTGTACACATGGTATCTGTTTTCTATTTTATATATTTTTTTGGTATATAAATAAATAAATAAATTATAATATGTCTAAATAATAATAAATATTGTCCACAGACAGATGTAAAGTCGTTGTTGCGCGATGAAGAAGTGATGAAATGATATAACTGTTAACAATGAAATAGTATTTATTAGAGGGTCGCTTATCACTACAAGATCTATAAGCTATAGCCGAGCCGCGCTCTCGCAAGAGGACGTCAATCGTGACATTCGTTGCTGTCATGTCATATGTCAATGTCACTGTCATGTCATGTGTCAAATGTCAACGTCAATGACATGAAATGTGACATTGGCTAATTTATTATGTCTGTTTTTTTTGTTAGGTCCTGATTTTACAACGAATCGCTCTGTTTCTACATGTTATCAGATCTAGAGTATTTTTTTCTTTTTTACCGGTTATTCTATAAAACGTGCTTTCCATTCTATGTGAGGCGAAGTAAATTGTGTCCAAAAGGCACTCCTAGAAGCCACGAAACTAAAGAAATTGAATTGAATTGGAACTATTTTTTCTTTGAAGCCATTAACAATAGAATTAAGTTGAATTGATATCTTGTTTGTTGTAGCTCAATAGCATACATTAAATTGCTCGTTTATTAAATGTAATCACTCCCCAGTGTGAATATCTCCCTCAGAGTAAGATGATCCCTAATTGAAACTCCACAGTGTTTTCTTCCATTCTCCGCAACATTAGCTAATTAAACTGGCATATCTGTAAGCCACAAACCAATGAATTCAATTGAACTGACATGTTAGAATAATAAGATCTCAGAATGTCCCAATCTAATCAGAAACATATAATTGTATTGACATAAATTTAGTTTATCAATAATAATGTAATGGAGTTTTTTTACCTCTTATTTACCGGTCATTTTATATATAACGTGTCTTTACCATTCTATAGGGGGGGTTTGGTGAAGTAAATTGTGCCCAAATGGCACACATACGAGTATAACAAAAGCATTGATTTATTTTAATAATTATCTTTTATTGACCAATATTATTTTCCTATATTCTTCATTCCACGAGACTTTAGTGACGTTTTTGTTCAACTGGTACTCATAAAGCTATAAAGTAATAATTAAATATATGTACATATTTTTGTCCAGTTAAAAGTCAAGATAGTACTAAAAATTGAATACTTTCTTAGATTAACGCGAATATTTGACATTTTAAATAAAACTATATTTCCGAACGGGAGTGATTGCTGTAAAGCGTTCAAAACGTCGGTAACCAAAAATCTAAATGATTCCTTGAAAGAAGCCGAAAAGTTAGTTTTTTTTAAAATACTAAAAAATTGTTAATTCATATTAAAAATTAAACCAGGATGTTGTTTTAATTTTTAATATGAATTTACTAAACCATGTCTAGCATTTTATGTCACATACGAGTAAAGTACAATTAAAGGAAAGACGCTTTAAAGTCATGAAAATTAAAAACTTATTTTAAGTCAAAATTATTATATTTTAGAATTTTTGCTTTTATGTATTTGCAATGTGATATTATATAAGTTTTAGGTAAATGACAATGTTTTGTAAGACTGCGATTTTTAGTGTATTTAGTAAAATTGTTCTCATTAGACTCTTGACATTTGATATGACAGCAACGGTATGATTTTATTTAAAAGTAAATTTTAGATTTTAATTTCAAATTTATATAATAGTGGGGGAGCCCAAGACGGGATTTTGGGGTTCATTCAAGCTCGGCAAATTAACAGCTCCATAAAGTTTATTAATGATTTTTTTGACGCGCTCAAGTGTTTCTATCTTATCAGTTTCGATCATAAAAGTACTAGATATACAATCCCATGCAAAAGTTCTCTTAAAACTGTCTCCGATTTTGTTTAATTAATTATTCTAGTTGAAATAAATATACAATAATGTAAATTAAACCTTAAATGTAATGCTTAAAGTTTTTTTCACAAAAAATAATAATTGAAAGCGCACTCAAATGTTCAAATGAACGCTCGTTCGGTGCTACATTTTTTGTCGCGGATTGTGTATCTAGTAATTTTTGACCGATGGCTGCCCTAGACGTGCTGCTTTATGTATACAGAGTACTTATCCTCTCTTGGGTTCCTTTACTATAAGAAGAATAGATGGAAAGAAGATTCTAGAATATAAACCCAGCCAAAAATCATATATATATATTCAAAAATAAACTTATAATGTTTTATTATTGTGATATTAAGTGAAGTATCTTGCGGTAGTGCGGTGTGTAATGTAGTATGTAACTATAAATCTTTTAGTTTTAAGTTATGTCTGTTTTAAACCGACTTTGTTTGAGACGTGCATTGGTTAAGATGTATAGAAAAATATGTGTTTATTGATGTCAGTGTAAAAGTGGTCTAACTCATAATTAAAAGATTTCGAAAATTATAATATTTTCCTAATTATTTTTAGTTTTTCAATAAATAATAGGTTATAGAGGTGGTATTTGATTTCGTTTATCTTTTAATATAATAAATGTAAATTCTGTGTAAATATGTCTTTTTTTTTAATCATAAATATATTTAGTTTTAAGGTTAGGCCTCTCTTGCGCTGACTGATCATTTCAAATAAGTTGTAATAATGTTATTTTTGCAGAATTTTGATATTTAGTTATGATCGTTTCTTTATAATTTATCACAGTAAATGGCCTAAGATTAAATTTATAAATAATGAGTATATGACATTATGTTAATCTATGAAATTGTTCATCCTTAAAGCATATCAAGCGTACATTTTACCCAATAATTAATATTTTTCGTTTATTAACTAAAGAGCAGTGGTAGTCCAGTGGTAAAGTGCCTGCCTGCTTGGGAAACTGATTGAAGCGGGTTCAAATCCCGGGTCTCGCACCTCTGATTCACAACTTGTCTTACAGCGAAGGAAAACACCGTGAGTTAATCTGCATGTCAGAACTTCCGCCCGCACTTGGCACAGGTGTGGTAGACTATGGCCTGATGCCCTTCGTATTGAAGGGAGACCCACTCCCAACAGTGGGACGTTAAATAAGGGCTGAATACATTAAGTAAAGAATAATCTTAAAAACGCATGTCTCAAAAGTCGGTTTCAAACGAAATGCTTAGAGTTGGGACGAATTATGATGAAATTTTGCTAAAAATCGTTCCTACTGCGTCTGTTGATCGGGAAATGATTGGTTTTTAGTAAGATAATGTGAAATGGTTTTTTTTGTTTTTACAATGCGCCTGTATAGACATTTGGACAGATTCTACCGCCAGAGGCAATGTCGACTAATTTTTTGCTTGTATTCGATGGTATAACTCATGAATATATAATCAAATGGTTTTTTTGGGCATGCTTTTTACGTCTGAGAGTGTTGCAAGAGTGACCTAACTCTAAAACGAGTTTCACAGACAGATATGTATATTTTATATTGTATAGATGTGTACATTTATTAAATTAACGTAATAAAGAAAGTATTGCATTTGTAAATCGATTTACAATCTATGTGAATAAAAACAGGCGATTTTATATACAGATTTTAATTATTATTATTATTTTTTGCATTAATTTTATATTAATAATGAGTTAGGTCGCTTTTGCACGGAATCTGAATATTATTTACATAATACTTGTATTTTAAAATATAATCTAAATTTATATATGAAACGACTTTGGGAGAATAATTTTATAAACGAAAATGACTTATTAATAGTAAATGTACTATTGGGTTGTGCTTATTTATATGCAGAGCTTTTTTAACTGACTTTTTTGAAGTCTGTAAAATTTACTATAATAAAGTCATTGTGGTTTGTTGATGGTGAAGTTTTCTTTCACTCATGGGTTATGACGTCGAATATTTATATATATGTGTGTATGTTTTCTCTGTCTGTCGCGGGGAGGATCTTTCCGAGATATTTTGTATAAAAGTTACATATTATAGTTTTGAATGGGTTTTTTTTCAATACATTGTATAACAGACCGCTGCTCCACGAATGTTTTTTTGTTTTGCAAAAAAAAAGGTATGTCGCGGTTTTTTCGGTTGTGTTTCTTTACATTATACTTATTGTAATAATATATTTTTTCTGATAGTTAAATTTTCCAAAAGTATTTCAAAATGGCAGCTTTTATTGAGTGATGGTTTTTTTTTTTATTTCCTGTACCTATTCTTACTTATGGATTATTTGAATATGATTTTAAAATAATTTTTAATGTTCAATATTTTTTTTTGTATTTAGATAAAGGTTTCTCTCTCGGTACTATTTTTGTAATAAAATATTAAATTAACAAAGTATCGAATTGTAAAACATAGATGTCTAAATTATTGTATTTATTTTTTAGAAGTATTATGTAAGGTTAAAAAGTCATTTAGGATAACAATTAAAAAGTGTTTCATTATAATTTGATCGTAAACGAATATTATTTGCACTGATATGCAAATTATTCGAGTGTCCAAAATTTAAAAAATGCTATGTTTTAGTATTAAAATCCAAGATGGCGTTAGTTTCTTTATAATATGTAAACCTTCCTGTACTACTTGAAACTATCTTATCGTATTTTATTTCGCGGATTTGTAACATGTGTATAACGCCTTTGAGACGTCTAAAACCTTAGTCTCTCCCGTGACCATGGTTGCTGTAAAACATTCGAAACGTCGGGAACTTAAAACCAAAATAAATTTTATTTTAAATTCGAGCTATTTTAAAACTCGTTTCGAATAATAATGTAAAATATTACATGTATGTTGTGCTGCCATTTTTTATAATGTTTTTATATATTTATTTATTATTATATATTTACTTCGGAATATGTATTGTAAAATAGCGGATACTGCCAGAACTTATCGTCCAAAGCTCGCGGGGCAGCGTTCATTGTTTGAGATAGTTTCGTTCTTGATTTAATTTGTAATTAATTGTGTAATTTATCTGAATTCCAAATTATGTCCAATGTAATAAATAAATATTTATAATGAATACATTTTTTTTATTTTCTTCTAAGCCTTCTATGAAGTTTCTAACTAGAACATATATTATTTTATTAGCTTTTACAAGCGATTTTGTTTAGCATGACAATTCTTCCAAAAAAATATATATTAGGATTGCGAATGTTTGAATGTGTGTATGTTTGTTGCTCCTTCTGCAACGGCAGTGCGGTTTG